CTAGGGAGAGTTTGATGCTGGTCAAAATGTTTTTGGTAGATGTGCGTAATAAAGGCAGAAACATAAAGCAAAACCAGAGACCAATAGTCCTGTTAGCTTCACCAAGCTCATGAGAATCACATTCACAATAGACATTCCCTTCATTGATTCCTCCAGCTCTTAAAAAGGAAATTACCATTAATAAATCAGGAAGTTATTAGCTGTTCTGCACTGGTCAGAGAAAGTGCTCCAGCAAATGTTGAGGTAATTGAAGTCACCTATCACCATTAAGAGAGGCAGTGTGGTGTAAGAAGATAGAAACCAATTTTGAAGCCAGGAAGCCCTGGATTCAAGTTTTACCTCTGATGTGCTGAGACACACACTGTCTGTGTTACTCTGGGTGAATCACTTAATTTATCAATGCTCTAGGCAACTCGCTAACACTGTAAGTTGCAGAGAAGGTGCTGACCTTATCTGAGAGTGCCTTCTGCCAGTGAAATCCTAGGTCTGGCTTATCTCCCTATCCTCACTATAGAAGGTTCTCAGGCCAGAATTATGATCTGTTTCCCAAACTCTTCATCTCTTTCCCCTTTCTGTGCCGGTGGTCTACAACACATTTTGATAACAACATTGTTTTTCTTTCTGCCTCTGTTGATCTTTGCCCTAACGTTCTTTACCATGCTTCCCCTTTCTGGTTCCTGGATTTCCTCAGGTGAGTATTTTCCCAATCTACAATGCCATTCATCCCCTCTGATTCCCCTTAAATATCTAGTTCCATTTTAATACATTATACTCTTCCACAGACATAGTCCAGTCATCAAGTCTAAGGAATGCTTGCAAGATATCTTTGTATTAGGATCTACAAGTCTGCTAACCCACCTGTCTTCCTAACTTCCCTTCTTCACGTTTGCAATATCAGAGTCCTCCTCCATTCTTCACTCTCCTTTCCTTCCTCCGGATCTGACCCAGTGCCAAGTCTTCGGTATCCTATTGCCACCATGTCTCTCATAGCCCTCTCCTCTTCGTTCTTGCCATGATCACTCTTTCACACTTTATAAAGGGATAAGTAGAAGTATTTCTTTAAACTTTTAATGTATTAACATCTTGTTGTCTCTGTTACCTTCTCCTTGTCTGAGGTCATCAGCTGGACTCTTTGCATCTTAATTGAATTGATTCCATTTGTGCAAAAGTCTTTCCATTTTATGGAATCACAGCATTCTAGGATTACCTCTATGCCTTGTTTGAGAAATCTCTCCTTAGTGATAGTTGTGGAAGATTCTTCCTTCCATTCTCCTTTAATTGTTTTTGTGACATGTTCTCTTATATTCAAGTTGTATAATCCCTTATTAAGCTGCATCAGAGATTACTGTAATAAGTAGATGGTGTAAGTAAGATGTTGATCTAAACTTAATTCTACCAAACTGGTTTCTAAGTATCCTAGTAGTTCTTGTTGAATAGGGAGTCCTTGTCCTGGTAGGTTGTGTTCTTGGCCTTATCAAACACTAGACTCCTGTGTTTGATGGTAGGGATGTCCTGATTAGCTCCCTTTCCCACCATGTGTATTTCTAAACATTTGTGAATATCTTGCATTCTCTTCCTTCCTTTAATAGAACACAAGTATGCTAAAAATTTTCTTGATATGTAATTGTGGGAAAAAATAAAATACTATTTAAAGCAAAATCAAACAAATAAACAAAAAATAGAACATAAGTGCTTATAAGGCTGGGACTACCTCTCTTATGTCTCTGTATCCCCAGTGCCTAGTACAGTGACTGACACATAGGAGAGATGCTTAATAAATGCTTGTGGGTGATTAATTCATAAAATTAATGCCATGTCAATCAAACTATCATATAATTACTTTGTAGAACTAGAAAAAATAATAAGAAAATTCATTGAGAGGAAAAGAAAGATCAAGATTCTCAATGGATATAAAGAAAAATGTTAGGAATAAAGGGAGCCCTTTATTACTGCATCTTAAATTATAGCATAAAGCAGTGATCATCAAAACCATTTGCTATTGGTTAAAAAATAGAAACTCTGATTAGTGAAGCAGACTAGAAAAGCAAAACTCACAAAGCAATCAGATATAGTAATCTAGTCTTTGATAAGCCCAAGAACACAAACCACCAGGACAAGGATTCTCTATTCAACAGAAATACTGGGAAAAGTAGAAACCAGTTTGGCAGAAATACAATAATCTTTAATATTGCAATAATCTCTAAATGGATATGCAATTTAAATATAAAAGGATGTGTCATCAAGACAATAAAGGAAGAATGAAAGGACATACCTTTCATAACTATGGCTAAGGGAAGAACTCTCAAACAAGTTAGAGGGGTGATCATAAAAGATGAAATTGAATATTTTGATTACATAAAATTAAAAGATTTTTGCTCAAACAAAATCAGTGTAGCTAAAATAAGAAGAGAAGCTCTTGACTGAAAAGGGAAAGTCTTCACAACAAATATTTGTGACAAAAGTCTGATATCTGAAGTACAAATATATGAGAACAAGAGCCAGTCCTTAATAGATAAATTGCCAAAGGATATGAATAGGTAGTTTGCTAAAGAAGAAATATAAGCTATCAGTGATTCTATAAAAACTGCTCCAAATCACTAACAATAAGAGATGCAAATTTAAGCAACTGAGATTTTACCTCATATCCATCAGATGACCAAAACCAAACAAAAAAACACCAATTGTTGGAGGGACTGTGGAAAGGGAAATACACTAATGCATTATTAGTGGAACTATGATTTGGTACAACCTTTCTAGAATATAATTTGGAATTATACTAGAAAAGCACTCAACGGTTCATACTTTTTGACACAATGATATCACTATTGGGTATATGTCTCAAGGAGGTCAAGAACAGAGGGAAAAGTAACATAAATACAAAAATATTTATAGTTATCATTGACTCAATGCTCTGAGAATCATTGAACAAGCTCTGAGAATCATTGAACTATTATATTATACTTGTAATTATATTATACATAATGTAAGTCTGTATGTTATATGGAATTATGTATAATATAATTCTATGTAAAATAGAATACATTAGAATTATGTTATGAGCTTCTACATTAAGGGACCAGAAGGCATGGAGTATGATATTCCGGAGGGCAAAGGAGATAGGATTACAACCAAGAATCACCTACCCAGCAAAACTGAGTATAATCCTTCAGGGTAAAAAATGGTTATTCAATGAAATAGGGGACTTTCAAACACTCCTGAGGAAAAGACCAGAGCTGAATATAAAATATGACTTTCAAATACAAGACTCAAGTGAAACATGGAAGAGGTAAACAGAAAAGAGAAATCATAAGAGACTTTTTAAGGTTGAACTGTTTACATTACTGCAGGGAAAGATGATATTTGTAACTCATGAGTCCTTTGTTAGTGTTGAGTGGGAGGGAAAACATTATATGTATGTATGTATAGATAGATAGATAGATAGATAGATAGATAGATAGATAGATAGATAGATAGAGGGCACAGGGTGATATGAAGATGAAGGGGTGATATCTGGAAAATAAAATTAAGGGGTGAGAGAGGATTATACTGGGAGAAGGAGAAAGGGAGAAGTAGAATGGGGTAAATTATCTTACATGAAACAGTCAAGAAAAGGCTTTTACAGTGGAGGGAAAATGGGGGAAGGTGGGAGGGAATGAGTGAATCCTATTCTCATAGGATTTGGCTTAAGGAGGGAATAACATACACAATGGGGTATGGAAATCTATTTTCCCTTACAGGAAAATAAGGGGGGAAGGGGACAAGAGAGCAGGGGGTTGACAGAGGGGAGGGCAGATTGGGGGGGATAATCAGAAGCAAACACTTCTGAGGAGGGACAGGGTCAAAAGAGAGAATAGAATAAATGGGGGATAGGATAGGATGAAGGGAAATATACTTAGTTTTTCACAACATGACTACTATGGAAGTGTTTTGCATGACTACACATCTATAACCTGTATTGAGATGCTTGCCTTTTCAATGAGGGTGGGTGAGGAGGGAGGAAGGGAGAAAATTTGTAACCCAAAGTTTTAAAAACACATGTTAAAAATAAAAAAAAATTTAAAAATAGAATTATGTTATGCATTCTATACGTAATATAGAATACATATACATTGCATTATTTGATTATGTTATTATATATATTCTATATATAGAATATAATCATGTATAATATAGAATTATAGATATTTAATATAATTACATATATAGAATTCTATATTATATAGATAATTTTATTATAATATAGAATTATATATTATATTATATATTGGAAACTGGGGAAATAAGCATTCATTAAGTTCCTACTACATACCAAGCACTGTGCCAGGCACTTTACAAATATTATCTCATCTGATACTCATAACTTGGCAAGCTATTGGTGCTATTATTATCCCCTATTATTATTATGTGACATATTATTATATTATTATATAAAATATTGTACAATAAGAAATTATGAATATGAAGATGAATTGATGTAGAATGAAGTAAGCAGGACCAAGTGAACAAATAGCAATAATGTAAATGAAAGAAGAGTAATAAGAAGGCAAACTCTGAGTGGTTCTTAGAACAAATCCTGATGCTGAAGAACAAATAATGAAACATGTGGCCTTAACCTCAAGAGGAAGGTGGGATACTACAGGGATAGAATATCATATATGTTGCTAGAGTTACTGTATCTGTTGTTTTTTGCTCAACTGTTTATCTTTATTATAAAAGGAGGTTCAATGCTGTGTGTGTGTGTGTGTGTGTGTGTGTGTGTGTGTGTGTGTGTGTGTGTGTGTGTTGTGGATTAATCTGGAAATGGCTATGACATAAAACCAGTCCCCACTCTTGAGGAGCTCACAGTTTAATGGGGACGTAAACAAGCGAACAATTATGTACAAATAAGAAGTCAAAGCTATCAGCTAAACTTACTCTTCAGGAAGCTCAGACCATGAACACAGGCAGTGAACACTAGACTGCGGACAGTGGACATAACCTTCTTCCTCCTTGCTCAGCAGGTCAATCCCTTCAGAGACAGAATCTGCAGAGTGTTCTCCCATGATGATGTCTTCTCATTTGAAGATGTTTTGGGAATGGCTTCTGTATTTAGTGCCCAGGCCTGCCCCAGCTTGAAGATTGAGTATGCCTTCCGCATCTATGGTAAGATACGTTGAGGGTCACAGTACTCAGAGAATAAAAATAAATAAGACTTTGGGGGTTGACGGGATGATCTCGTGCTTCTCTCCTCTTGCTTCTCTATGCTTCCTTTCCTGAACAATCTTATCCCCACAGTTTCAGTTAGGAATGTGCTGCAGCTAGCTTGAACTGGTTCCTTGATAAAGGTGATTGTTAAATTTTTGTGAGCACTTATACCTCGGAAATCAGCAAACGCTACAAGTCAGAGCTTGATTTGTTTTGTTGATTGTCTAGACTTCAGAAAGTGATGGAGAAAATGATCATAATTCATGTTAAACTTAAAAGTGTATGGTGTATACATTTTTTTTGGAGATCCCAGTATAAAACATTTACCAGTGCATCCCTGGCCATAGGGGAATAGATGGACACCTCCTATCCAGAAAAAAGGACAGAGTTGATTTGATCACGTTTTGTGGTTCCAAAACTGGACAAGAAGTGGTGATGAGGAAGGGTTACTTGGTCTCTAGTGAGGACGGCCAATTGTTTGTGGAGGAGGTGACTGGAGTCAGGGGAGGAACAGGGTGCCTCAGAGTTTCTTTAATAAGATGCTGAAAAGAGACCCAAATCTGTACTTGTGGGAAAAAGGTCAAGTCAGAAAGGAGAAGCTCACCAAGGAAGGGTAGGGCAACCAATGGGGAAAATGGGGTCTGCAGTTCACTGCCTGAATCCAATAAAGGGCAAAACTGACTAAGGTGTTTTTTAACAAAATAAGGCAAGAAACACCCAACAAATTCCAAGAGGAAATATATTTCCTAGTAGGTAATTTTTTTTCTTCTGACAATAATTCCTTACACTTACCTTAGCATAATGACACCATATGAAAATTTCACCTTGAAAATAAAAAGAAAAGTGGATACTGATTAGGAAACGTCCACCTTATGATCTGAGAGGCAGGGGGTAGAATAGGGGAAGGGTTGGAACCTGTGATTTCACGGTGTTTGGTAATACCACAGATGCAGATCTCTGCCTCTCCTGTAAATTATAAACATCTAAGAGAGCAAGAAGTCTGGGGCAGTTAGTCAACAAGCCGTGTTAAACTCCTACTATTTGCCAGGCTCTGTGCTAAGTCCTGGGGATACAAAGAAAGGCAAAAAATAGTACCTGCACTCAAGGAACTCAGTCTAATGGAAGAGACAACATGCAAACAGCTATGTATAAACAAGATAAATTGGTGATAATCTTAGAGGGGGAGGCACTAATGTAAAAAGGCTTCTTACAGAAGGTAGGATTTTAGTTGAGATTTTAAGGAAGTCAAGAGATGAAGATGAGGAGGGAGGGAGTTTCAGTTATGGGGGGACAGCCAATGAAAATGCTTAAAATTGGGGCAGCTAGGTGGAGCAGTGGATAGAGCTCCAGCCTTGGAGTCAGGAGGACCTGAGTTCAAATGTGACTTCAGACACTTAATACTTACTAGCTGTGTGACCCTGAGCAAGTCACTTAACCCCAATTGCCTAAGCAAAAAATTAAAAAAAAATTAAAATAAAGAAAGGAAAATGCTTAAAATTGGGAGACGAAGTGTCTTGTAAAAGGAACAGCAAGGAGGAAGACAATAAGTGACTTGCTCAGAGTCACTCAATTAGTCCCAGGAAGAACAAGGACTTGCTGATTTTGAGGTCAGCTTTTTATCTGCAAGGGCAACCCTCCACTAACTTAGAAGAAAAGGACTATAAAATAACTTTTCCTGGGAGCTGTGAAGCAAGCTTATACATTCTTGCAGGTCTAGAAGGAGAAAACTGATCACTCCCTGGTAGGTGTAGATAAGGAAAAAAAAAACTTCCTAACAGGGGTGGTTGGATGTTCCAGGTGAGGAGGCCCAGGTATTGAGGGGGGTTCCAGGATTAGACAGCATGGTTTGGAAGTCTGGACGTGAGGAACAGGACTGGAAGCTAAGCGGGGCATGATTGCTGGTAGGAGGAGATGCTGCCATGTCATTCTAGTTACCATAGGTAAGGAAGGTTAGTCCTAGAACTGGTTCCTACCACTCTGTGTATGATTGGCAGATTGCTTTGGATCTTTTAGGAAAGGATCAAGAACCAGACTGCACCCTTTTGTAGATGCTGGATTAAGTCAGTCCAAGTGCCATCTTTCAGAAACCATCAAGTTGAATATGATGCTTCTCCTGGAACTCCTGGGTTGTTCATGGTCCTAGATTGCCCCCGAATCAATCTCTCAAACAACTGATACTTTTCTCCTGTTTTTCTTCATAGTCTGGTCTCAATAGAAATAGAAAACATCTGGTTGGTGTACATCATAAGAATGAATCCCTCATGAATGTCCTTTTCTTTCTTCTTTTCCTTCTTCTTTAGCATAGTATAGTGGAAAAAAACACTGGGGACCTGGGTTCAAATCCAAGCCCTGACACTTATTAGCCATGTGACCCTGAGTACATCACTTCATTTGGAGGGGCCACCATTTCCTCATCTTTAAAATGGGAATAATAATAATATTTGTATTATCTACAAAAGAGGCAGCTTGGTGTCATGGGTAGAGAACTAACCTGGGAATCAGGAAGAGGGGATGGGAGGAAGTGGGGGGAGGTGGGATTCAAGTGCCACATTTGACACCAACTGGCAGTATACCCCTGGGCAAGTAACTTAACTTCTCAGTGTTCCTGCCCACTCTCTAAAATTCTATGTTGCAGAGTATGCACTGATCTGCATTTATGATAGAGTTTTTTTATCTGGGTATTCCATATAATCAAAGGTCCAGACTTTATCTTCTTACCTATCTCACAAGGTTGTTGATAAGTCATTGGTCAGTGCCCAGACCATCCCTTTGATAGGAATTGGCTTCTTTCTAAGTCAGTTTTGGTTTTCTTTGTATCTCTTCCTGACTCAGAAAACTACAGTGGTTTCCTGTTGTCTCTAGGATAAAACACGAACTCCTCTGTTTGGTTCCTAAAGCCCTCCATAGCCTGGCTCCAGTCTATCTTTTAAGGCTTATTCAAGGCTAGTTATCCTCTTTAAACATTGGAGGTGCTAGGCAGACTAGCCAATTTGCTTTTCCCCATACATGACCTTCTCCCTCCCATCTTGGTGTGCTTGGGCCTCAAACTCACCTCTACCTCTTGGCCTCCTCAGCTCCCTTGAAGACTCAGCTCAGGTGCCATTTCTTATTCAATTCCCTTTCAGTGGTTAGTATCCTCCCCATCAACTACTTTATATTTATCTTGCCGGTGTTGTTCAGTCGGTTTTTAGTCACGTACAACTCGTCATGACCCCATTTGGGGGTTTCTTGGCAAAGATACTGGAGTGGTTTGCCGTTTCCTCCTCCAGATCATTTTATAGATGAGAAAACTGAGGCCAACAGGGTAAGGTGACTTGCCCAGGGTCACCCATATAGTAAGTGTCTGAGGCCAGATTTGAACTCAGGGAGATGAGTCTTCCTGACTCTAGGCCTGGAGTGCTAACCACTACATCACCTAGCTGCCTAAGCTGGTGTAACTGGCCTTTAATGGTGTGAGGTAAAGAGGATATTCTCCCCCTACCCATCCCTTTCAACTTCTTCATTACATTTAAGAATTGCCTCTTCTCAGCAGATATTAATGAGAATGGCTTCATTGATGAGGATGACCTCAAATGCATCATCCAGCGGTTGCTAAACACTACCAATGTGGGTGACGAGTTGCTAAATAATCTGACTAAACATGTATGTACCTGATTGGGGGGGGTCAAGGGAGGAAGGGTGAAATCTGACCTTCCTGTCACCACTGGCGGGGCCCACAGGACTTAGGAGAGGTGTGGCAAGTGTAACCTTCACCGATTCCCTTCACCAAGTCCCTCAAATAAGGAAAGCAAGAGAGAGAGATTGCTCTGTACCATCCAAACTCCCTCTTATGATGGCCAAGCACATGTATTTGCAAAAGGCTGACTTTACGTGGGGATCAAACATGGGGCCTTGGTCTAAGTAATTGGGTATCATAGCTAGGTAAGCTACATTCTCTAGGGCCATTTTCTTGTTCTCATTCACTGCCTTGCCCTTTTTTGAGGAGTTCAGGGAGGGGGGGAAGTTCCCTGAAGGGTCATGGAAATGTTCCAAGTTTTAACTCAAGGCCACACAGTAAGTCTTTGCTATTTTTAGTTTTAGGGTTCTCAACTGGACTATGCTGAGGGATGGCCAAGAGAAATCATAGGATCACAGGTCTAGAGCTGGAACAGATTTCATAGGCCATCTAGCCCAAACCCCTCGTTTTATAGATGAGGAAACTGAGGCCCAGGGAAGTTAAGTGACTTGCCCAAGGTGATGAGGGTTGTGTGTAGGATTTGAACCTAGGGCCTCTGACTCCAGAACCAGTGCTCTTTCCACTGTAGCTTTAGGGCTAGCTCATCTTGCCTCTAGAATATTTCAGGGCCTTGAGTGAAGACTTGGCCAGGCCTTTGACACATAAATGGTAGCCCAGCATTTAATGATAACAATCCCACTGCTGGATTCAGGGGCATTTCCCCCTTTCCTGAGAGGAAGGAGGTCCCATTCACACTGGACTTGAGTGTTCCATGACTCCATTTCTCTTGGGCTCTAGTTTACTATCTTCCCTGTCAATTTTATGAAAAGAAATCAAAGCTGTAACTAGAGCAGGGTAATTAAGGCTTTCCCCCAAGGTACTGAAATGTAGTGTATGCTGGAAGCATTTATATTCCCTTCAGCAACTGGATAGAAACAACTGAACTAAGCCCCTAGTTAGCAAGAATACTTTTTTTTTTTTAAATAGGAAGCGTCCAGTCAAGCAAGTAGCCTTGATTAAGCACCTACTACCAGGTGGAGTGGAGTGCACTTCCTCCTCCCCTTGTCCCCAGTTGACCATACACCAAATGAAATCTCCTTTCCTATTTCTTTTCTCCCTCCTTGGAAACAGCTTGGAGTCTATGCTGCTGTTCCCTTTCCCCCCATCCCACTCCTTGGAATTAAAAACACAATTGCATTTGTGTTTATTGTCCTATGGATGGAAATTGCTAGTTACGACTCTATAGCTGTCATATCCTTCCCCCACCTACCAAAGGCAAAACCCAGTTCCATGGCAGAGACTGTGTGCCTCTGTGTGTGGGGTCATGAAGAAGAGTTAATGTAGGGAAACGTGCATGGGGAAAGAGTACAGGTATGCCCTGACCCCGAGCCTTCTGCATGAAGCCATCCAGGAGCCCTCCCAGCCAGAGAAGCTGGCACAAGAACCAGACAACACCAAATCTTTGGAGGGCATAAGAATAGAGAGCTCAAGACTTTGTAATGTTGCTTACTTAAAAAAAAAACACAATTAAATCTAACCTACTTCTCCCACCTCCAAATGGCATTGTGCCTTCTAGGGACTATCAGGTAAGGCTCCCTGGGGCCTCTAGCCTAGCTTGGCTGTTGTAAACAGCATGAGGTTGCCAAAACTCACACTCAAGGTGAGGGGGAAAAGGTCAGGGTTACCTAGCAGATGGCTTACTGGATGACCCTGGGGAATTCCTGAGCAAAGGGCCCAAGCCAGGGGATACCTCAATGCCTTTCCCCTTACCCTTTCTCTTTCTTATTGTTTGTTCTATCTCTTGGACTCCTCATTTCTACTTTCTCCATTGCAGATATTGGGAGAATCAGACATGGACAATGACCGCATGCTGTCTTTCTCAGAGTTTGAACATGCCATGTCCAAGTCCCCAGATTTCATGAAGTAAGGAACTTTCCCCAGCAGCAGCTATAAAAGAGGGGAAGGGGACAGAGAAAAGAGAGGGGAAGAGAAGAGGGGAGGTTACAAAGCAGAAAGTCAGGCACCTCTAGTCTCTCTTTGGCCAAGAAAAAGAGCTACCTAAGTCTTTCGAGGACGGTACTTAGTCTTTCGATTGTTGAATAGATTCTATGAGCATCACAAAGACTGATCCTTTTTCCCGGGATTAAAAAAAATATTGAATTAGGCAACTTATAAAGGTATAGAAGGAGAGTGTAAGTAAATAGAAAATCCTTGATTGGAGGAGAATGGAAATTGGACCCCTCAAGATGAACTCCACTTTGTTCTGCTAATGGAACACATGTAGTCAGTCCAAGCAGAGATCATGGAACACAGTTAATGCATCTGTCCAGTTTCTCATCTGGTCCTTGTCCCACTAGGCCCTTCTCCTTCATTTTTATCCCTTACTACCATCCCATGAGATCAGCTCATCCACCTCCATCCAATAGGATGCAGAGAAGGTCACTTGGTCTATCGATAAGCGCTCACTATGTGCTGGCACCTGTGCTAGGGGATACGAAAAAAGGTCTTCATACACACTCTCTGCCCTCAAGGAGCTCACATTTTAATGAAAGAAACAATATGCAAAAAAGTGTCCATACAAGAGATATGGTGTGAATGGAAGGCAATCTCAAGGAGAATGCACTAGTAGTAGGAGGAAGCAGTGGAGTTTGAGTTGAGTCTTGCAGGAAGCCTGAGAAGGTAGGAGTTGGAGGTAAAGAGGGATAACAACCCAAGTAAAAGAGCCATCAGAGAAAGGCCCAGAGTCAGAATATGGAATATTATGTTCAAGGAACAGTTAGAAGCTCAATGTGGCTGCATCATGGAGTATATAGAGGCAGATAAAATGTAAGATAATTGGAAAGGTAGGAAGAAAACTGATTTTGAAGGGCTTTAAGAGCCAAACAGGATTTTATATTTGATCCGGCAGGTACTAGAGAGCTCATGGAGTTTATTGACTGGGGGGAGTGATGATGGTCAGACCCAAGCTTTAGGAAAATCACTTTGGTAGCTGAATAGATAATGGACTGGAAAGGGGTGAGACTTGGGGCAGGGAGACCAATTAGAAGACTATGACAATAGTAAGGCATGAGGTAATGAGGGCCTGTGCCAGGGTGGAGTGGAGATATCAAGGCCTCATATGAGATTATAGAGACAGAAGTTATAATGTAGAGACAGAGCAGGAATTAGAACTCATAGGATGATAGATTTAGGGCTATGTGGTTCAACTCCCTTTACAGAGGGGCGAATTGAGGCCCTGATCACTTAAATGACTTGCCCAGGGTCACACAGGTAAATAAGTGGAAGAGTCATGATTTGGCCCCGGGTCCTTTGATTCCATATCCAGCTTTCTTTCCATTGCACCGTGTTGACTCCTGAGTTTTTAGGTCCCAGCTGAGCCTAGAAAGATAGAAGAAACAATGGGGAAAACGGCCTAACTTTCTAGCTCTGTGACCCTGAGCAAATAATATAACTTCTCTGGGCCTTACTTTCCTCATTTGTAAAATGGGAAAGGTCATACTTTATCAGAAAAGTCCCTCTCTGTTCAAACATCCTGGGATCCAGGGGTGTATTTGTCCTACTGGCAGCCTGGTGTAGCGGAAAGAGCCCTAGAAATAGAGACTAAGGACTTGAGTTTGAATCCTAGCCCTGCCATTAACTATTTCACTCTCCATTGCAGTTGTTCCAAACCTTCTTGTCTTTCCTTAACCCTCCCATAGCACTCGCTTTCCCTACCCTATCAGGTGAGGACCTTGATGCTTCACGGAAAAAACAAAACTGGGGCCCTTTGTTGAAAGCACCTCTTCTCCCCTCTTCCTCATGTCACATCACTCAGACCTCTTTGCCCACTCTCTGTTCCTTCACTCCCATCTTAGAAGAAGAGGTGGGCTTTCTCCTTGACAGGAGCACCTTCCTCCCAACATGTACCCTTGATCTCATCACCCCCATCTTCTCCAGCAGTTCACTCCTACTATCATACCCACTTTATTTCCTATCATCAATATTTCCCCATCTACTAACTCCTTTCCTTCTACCTATAAACACACTAGTGTCTCCTCTATTCTTAAAAAAAAATCCTCACTTTATCCTACTATCCCTGGTAGCTCTTGTCCTATAACTCCTCTCCCCTTCTCAGCTAAACTTCTTGAGAAAGCCATTCACACAAAGTGCCTCCATTTTCTAGACTCTTACTTTATTCTAAACTCTGTGCAATGTGACTTCTGATCTCTTCCCTTTCCAAAGTGACCAGTGATACCCTAATTGCCAAATCTAATGGCCTTTTCTCAGTTTTTATCCTTTTTGGTTTGTCCCTCTACTGCATTTGACATTGTTGATGACCTTCCCCTAGATACTAAGTTTTTGTGGTTTCCTTTTATCCTTTTAAATGCTCCTTTTCAATATCCTTTGACGGTTCTTCATTCATGTCACACCCCTACAAGTTCTATCCTGGGTTATATTGTTTCCTCTATACTTTTTCATTAAGTGATCTCCCTGGTGCTTAGCATAGGACCTGGCATATAGTAAGTGCTTAATAAATGTTTGGTGAGCAACTGACTGACTGATTGACTATTAATGAGCTTGTGACTTTGAGCAAATCACTTCATCTTTCTGGGCCTCAGTTTCCTCATCAGTAAAATGAAGGGAAGGGTTATGTTTATCAGTGATGACTACAATCCTTTGAAAAGAAGTTGGGGTATCCAGAGGGATCCAACATGATCAGAGAGAGTTAGAAACCATAGATACTCTATCAGACCAACCCCATTAGAACAAGCAGAATTTCCTACAGCATCTAGCACCTCCTGAATATTCTGTTCTTCTTCTAGTTCCTTTCGGATTAATTCCTGGGACCTCTGACAGTGAAGCTGCCTGGCTAAGAACAACTTAACCAAATGGTCTTCTGGCTGCCACAGGGGAGACCTCTAGAATCCTGTTCATTTCCCTCTAATCTCTGGATGTTAAGGGAGGGATGTGGTTACATGTGTATCTCTGCTTCATTTAAGAGAATAAAGCCATAGGCATGTATTTTCCTTACCCTTCTGGCTCAGTGTTCCTTGAACCTAGTCAGTGACCATATTGGGATATTAAAAAATGGTTGAACAGAATGAGTAGACTCAGTTAAGTCATATGCAGCATCTCTCTTGGCCACACTGTCCATCATGTTTGCAGACTATGGTAAGGTTGCCAATGCTTGGGAGGACATTTTACAAGATGATAATTTGAGAACTGGCCTTGACCTAGTGGAATGTTCAATAAGAAGAAATGTTAAGCTATATGCAGCATCCCTCTTAGGTATAACCAGCTCTAATAGGCTGTTTCAGAGCCTATTAATTTAAGTCACAGATGAGTTCTTGTTGATGTGGAGACATTCAAATCCAATAGAAAAAATATTTCATTAGGTTCCAGCAAGCCAGCAGCAAGCCCTACCTCAGCAAGCCAGCAGTAGATCCTGCACCCTAGTGCAGTGGAGCAGGCAAACGTCAATACCAGGACCCCCCCACATGCCTCAGCATAGCCAGGGGAACAGGGCAGATTCCAGCTCTGAGAACCACCATGTACTTCAGTGTAACCCTGGGCATACAGGTAACCTCCAGTGGCCAGACCACCACATGCTTCAGTGTAGCCCCCAGGGAAACACAGAAACACCCCACCAGCCTCAGTACACATCAGATACCACCCAGCACCAGGTAAGCTGCCAGATCCCTATAGCCTTCAGCAGCACCAGCCACTCCACCTCACTCCACTCCCTCAGTGCAGCACCAGATACAAGGGTCCCCCATGTATCTCAGGGCAATGCCAGTGTAGCACCAGGTAAAAAGCCAGGGCCTATAGCCCCTGGCATAAGGAACCTAACACAGTGCTCCTCCTACCCCAGGAGCAGAGCTCAAATTTAAAAGAAAGGGAAAAGGCCAAAAAAGATGTGAAAAAAAAAAGAATCTGACCATAGAAAGTTATTTTGGTGACAGGGAAGAACAAGACACAAACTCAGGAGAGGACAACAACGGCAAAACACCTATTGGCAAAACCACAAAGAAAAATGGAAAGTGGTCTCAGGCCCAGAAATAACTCATGAAAGAGCTCAAAAACAAGTTTAAAAATCATATAAGAGATGTGGAAGAAAAATTGGGAAAAGAAATGAGAGTGATGCAAGGAAATTATGAAAAAATAGTCAACAGCTTGGAAAAAGAAAACAACTGCATAAAAAGTACAACTGGCCAAATGGAAAAGGAGATACAAAAATCCACTGCAGAAAACAACTCCTTAAAAAGTGCAATTGGCCAAATGGAAAAGAAAGTACAAAAGCTAACTGAGCAAAACAGCTCCTTAAAAGTTAGAATTGGGCAAGTGGAAGCTAATGACTCTATGAGACATCAAGAACCAATGAAACAAATTCAAAAGAATGAAAAAATAGAAGAAAATATAAAATACCTCATTGGAAAAACAATTGACCTGAAAAATAAATCCAGGAGAGAGAATGTCAGAATCATTGGACTATCTGAAAGCCATAATCAAAAGGGAGACCTGGACAGCATTTTCCAAGAAATTATCAAGGAAAACTGCCCTGATATCCTGGAATCAGAGAGCAAAACTGGCATTGAAAGAATCCACCAATCACCTCAGGAAAGAAATCCCAAAATAAAAACTCCAAGGAACACTATAGCCAAATGACAGAACTATTAGGTCAAGGGAAAAAAGTATGGCAAGTGGCCAGAAAGAAACAATTCAGATATTGGGGAACCAGAATCAGGATTACACAGGACTTAGCAGCTGCAACATTAAAGATTGGAGATCATAGAACATGATATTCTGGAAGGCAAAGGAGCTAGGACTACAATGAAGAATCACCCACCTAGTGAAATTAAGCACACTATTTCAAGGGAAAATGATCATTCAATGAAATAGAAGAATTTCAATCTTTCATAAGGAGAAAATCAGAACTGAACAAAAAATTTGATCTCCAATATTCAAGACCCAAGAGAAGCCTAAAAAGTTAAAAATGGAAAAGAAAACATAAGAGGTTCAGTGGAGCTGAACTGTTTACATTCCTATATGGGAAGATGATACTTGTAATTCTTAAAAATTGTACCACTAATAGTACAGCTAGAAGGAATATACATAGACAGAGAGTACAGGTATAAGATGAATTTGAGGGAATTACATAAAAAAATTAAGGGATGAGAAAGAAGAGTACACTGGGTGCAGAAGGAAGGCAAAGGTAGAATGGTATAAATTATTTCACATGAAGATGCATGAAAGACCTGTAACAGTGGAGAGAAAGATGGGACGGCAGGTGACAGCCATTACTTGAACCTTTCTGTCATCAGTGTTGGCTCAAAGAGGGAATAATATACACAATCAGTTGGATATAGAAATCTATCTTACTCTACAGGGAAGTAGGAGAGGAGGAGATTAAGTAAAGGGGGGAAGGACTAACAGAAGGGAGGGCAGATTGGGGGAGGTGGTAGGCAGAAGCAAAACACTGGTAAGGAGAGAAAGGGTGAAAGGAGAGAGGAACAGAGAGGAGGAAAATAAGATGGAGGGAAATAGACAGTTATTAATCATAACAGATAGCAGATAGCAGGGTGGATCAGAAAACAGAATACTACAATATATTGTTTACAAGAAACACATTTGAAGCAGAGACACACATAGAATAAAGGAGGTAAAGGTCTGGAGCAGAATCTATTATGCTTCAGCTGAAGTTAAAAAAAAAGGAGAGGTAGCAATACTGATCTCAGACAAAGCAAAAACAAGAATAGACCTAATTAAAAGAGATAAGGAAGGAAACTGCATGTTGCTTAAAGGTATCATAGACAATGAAGCAATATCAGTACTAAACACATATACACCAAGTGGTATAGCATCCAAATTCTTAAAGGAGAAGTTGATCGAGTTATAGGTTCACAACTAGAGATAAAGAGCATAATGAAATATAAAATAGATAATTTTGATTATATTAAATTAGAATAGCTTTTGCACAAACAAAGCCAATGCAACCAAGATTAGAAGGAAGGCAGAAATCTGGGAAACAATCTTTACAGCAAGTGTTTCTGATAAAGGCCTCATTTCTCAAATATATAGAGAACTGAGTCAAATGTGTAAGAATACAAGCCATTCCCCAATTGATAAATGGTCAAAGGACATGAAGAGGCAGTTTTCAGATGAAGAAATAAAAGCTATCTATAGGCATATGAAGAAGTACTCTAAATCACTTTTTTTTGCAAGGCAATTGGAGCTAACTGACTTGCTCAGAGTCACACAGCTAATAAGTGTTACATGTCTGAGGCTGGATTTGAACCTAGGTCCTCCTGACTCCAGGGCAGGTGCTCTATCCACTGTACCACCTAGCTGCCCCTCTAAATCATTTTTGATTAGAGAAATGCAAATTAAAACAACTCTGAGGTACCACTTCCCACCTGTCAGATTGGCTAACAAGACAAAAAAGAAAAATGATAAATATTGGAAAGGATGTGGGGAAATTGGAACACTAATGAACTGTTGGTGAAGTTGTGAATTGATCCAAACATTCTGGAGAGCAATTTGGAACTATGTCCGAAGGCAAACAAACTGTGCATACCCTTTGATCTAGCAATACCACTACTAGGTCTATATCCCAAAGAGATCATAAAAAAGGGAAAAGGACCTACATGTGCAAAAATATTTATAGCAGTTCTTTTTGTGATGGCCAAGAATTGGAAATTGAGGGGATGCCCATCAATTGGGAAATGGCTGAACAAACTGTGATATATGAATGTAACAGAATACTATTGTGCAATAAGAAATGATGAGCAAGCAGACTTCAGAAAAACCTGGAAAGACTTATATGAACGGATGCAGAGTGAAATAAGCAGAATCAAGAAAACATTGTATACAGTATCAGCAACATTGTGTGATGATCAACTATGAATGACTCAGCTCTTCTCAGCAATGCAATGACCTGAGACAAGTACAAAGGACTCATGGAGGAAAATACCATCTACATCCAGATAAAGAACTGATGGATTCTGAATGCAGATCAAAGCATACTTTTTTCACTTTATTCTTTTTGTGTTTTTTTTTCCTTTTGATCTATTTCTTCTTTCACAGATGTAACTAATGTGGAAATATGTTTTACATGATAGCACACGTATAACCTGTATCAAATTGCCTACCATTTTTGGAAGAGGGGAAGGCAGGGAGGGTGGGAGAGAAATTTGGAGCTCAAAATCTTATAAAAAATGAATGCTAAAAATTGTCTTGCTGTGCAATTGGGGAAAAAATAAAATGCTATTAAAAAAAAGAAAAAGTATATAATTAAAACAAGAAAAAAACATTGATAAGGGAGTGAATCAAGCAGCAGAACATTCTCTACAGATGTTATCATCTGATTCCCCTTCAATTTCTCTAACTTTTAAGCATGGTAGAAGGACATAGTCACTTTGTACTGATAGGTCAAGGCAAACACTTCCATACATTGGGTTCTGTTTCTTGAAGTCTTTCCCACAGGGCTGGCCAAAGGAAAGCTAGATGCTTGCTTTTATGGTCTAGATGGGACATAAGGGGTTCAAAATACCATGTACAATACTGTGTGAGGTCTCCTCTCACTGCAGTTCAGAACCTTACCATTCCTTCACCTCCTTCCCCATGGATCTTGTAACCCTTTTTAAACCTCTTGACATGTAGAGTCTCTTTGGATCCAATCAGCATTGGGGGTTTATACATAGACCTTGTTTAGGGAATGGGGAGATGGAAACAGAGAAATATAGTGGAAAGAACACTAACTTTGGAGTTAGAGGATCTGAGTCTAATGATAACTACATGACCTTAGGCAAGTCACAATCACCCTGAGCCTCAGTTTCCTCATCTAGAAAATAAAAGGATAGGATTAGATTCTGTTTGATGCTCCTTCCAGCTCCAATGTGTGATCCTATGATCTGGGATACTCTCACAGCCTTAAGCCCTGTGGGAAATGTAATCT